TACAGTCACATCAACATCTCAAGATATATCACACAGATGTCAATTCTAATGAGATGTATCTACTTTGAGGGTAATGATAACTGACCTTCAACATGCATGAAACATGTATTTCCATAACAACCATGGTTCAGTAGTGAAACAATTATTAACTAGTTTACCTGTGTTACTAACGAGAATGACATATTGTCAGGTAACTAAAATAAACTCAGGGTATAATTTCACACCTTGTTGGCAATGAGTTATTTTTACATCAAAATTCTGGTAAACATCATCAAAAAATATTCAACAATCATAAACATTGTTTGAAATGGTAATACAAGTTAAAGTAAATAAACAACACTTATACTTAGTTCAACATTGTTATACTTTGTTACTCTTAACTCAAAACTGTTATATTCAGTTCAACATTGTTATATACGGTTCAACATTGTTATACTTTGTTACTCTTAACTGAAAACTGTTATATTCAGTTCAACATTGTTATACTCAGTTCAACATTGTTATACTATACTCTTCAACATTGTTATACTGGAACATAACCCAGAGGTGAAAAAGTAAGTTCTATTTAATCATTTGGTGAAAGAATTTCATTTCTCAATACCAGTATGTGGAATTTAAAGTGACTCATCTCTGAACTCAAGTGTACTTTTTAGAATCTTTTAAAAAGTTATCGATATTAATTAAAACATGCTTTTAATTAAAAAGTAATCATGATATCTTAGGTAAAATACTCATTTTTAATTATTTTTAAAGAATTTTCATGTTTTATAATGGTTCATAAACTGATATGATTTATATCTAGAACTTTCGAGAACATTCGAACCAGAGAAACGAACCAGGGAACTAGGGAACCCAACCAGGGAACCAGGGAACCCAACCAGGGATCCCAACCATGGAACCAGGGAACCCAACCAGGGAACCAGGGAACCCAACCAGGGAACCAAGGAACCCAACCAGGGAACCCAACCAGGGAACCAGGGAACCCAACCAGGGAACCAGGGAACCCAACCAGGGAACCAGGGAACCAGATAACCCAACCAGGGAACCAGGGAACCCAACCAGGGAACTAGGGAACCCAACCAGGGAACCAGGGAACCCAACCAGGGAACCAGGGAACTGTTGTCAGAGAATGTGTAACTTGTTATCTTCCTAAAAATAAATTTATTTAAAATCAAAACTTGGCAATGAGTACACTGGGTACTATAAATATACAACAATTCTAAAGTCTTGATCTTTCTAGTCCCTGGGTAGCTAAAATAGTGGTAACAGACAGATGATTTCTTCATGAA